CTGACGCTAATACCATAAAATGTTCTATTCAAATTCTGTGTACGTACAGCACAATTGTTCGCACACTTCATTCGAAAATACTTGTTAGTTTTTTTGTCAGCTCTGATTCCTATTAAAATAGGTCAGATATAAATGGTAGACACTTTTCCGATGAATTGCAACGAGGGATCCATGATGAATGAATTTTATCCCGTTTTACTTTTATACTCTCTAAGTTATCCATTTAGTCTCTTTAGTCACTTCAGTCATTTTAGATCCCTTTAGTACTCTTTGACACCCTCACTTACATCCTAAACGGACTAAAGGGACTGAAGTGTAACAAATATGGAAGTCCTAGCAGTTTTCGTAGCATAAGAGTAAAATGGGATAAATTTATTTTTTTGCGGATCTATGATTACAACTACCTGAAGCGTTCTTTCAGAGAATTTCACTGCCATGCGTAATTCCTTTCCAGCATAAGGTCATCCTCTTTGATGTAAACTGTATCATATTCTAGACGTCGCTAGGTTCCAAAAATCCTAAGAATTTATAACACGAGAATTCTTGATGGAAAATTCCAAAGTTAAAACTTTATTGTGAACTATTCATTATGTCTTCAATTTCATTGTCAAGCTAGCCAATCAGAGGTTTATTGAAATTTCTCATTTAGACAATCTTAGTGTAGTATTCTCCAAAAATATATAGCCTTTATATAGATCATTTCGGAAGCGAGTCTACAGTGAACATGCAATAGGAGCAACTAGTTGTTCGTCGGCCCCCCCTTTGGAGTACCACTCACGGCTAGTCACTCCATTATCTGAACGTACCAAAGCAATAACTGGTTATTCTGTTTTAAACATAACGAGTGTGACCTCATCTTTATTTATCTGTTTATATCATCTTCTTCGAGTCACAGTGGCTAGAAATCCCATGAGTTAGAACTTCTGCTAAAAAGAATGCAAATAATGGAATAATAAGTCAGGAAAAAAAACGTGATGTGAGAAAACTTAGAAAAGGGTCATCTTGATTTCACTAAAACTGGAATTCGAATATTAGAATCCTTTTTGTGGTGGGTGCAGGTGTAAGTATGGACTTTAGTGTGTTAATCTTGTTCTGCCTCGCACCAAACCGTGAAAAAACCTCATGTACATTTCATGTTATTGAGATTGTCGAGCCTGTGATTATGCTAACACATCTGAATACGTTGCTCTGCCAATGACTGTCAGAACAGAAACTCATTTTATTGCGTACCAGCTAATGTTCAGTCCACGGCAAAGTCATTTTTTCCCTAAACGTCTTAATCTGATTATAAAATTATAGCTCGAAACTTACAGCAATTGATTAAAGGCTTGGATACTCGGACCTTCATTTGGTCGTGCCAACTTTTCTGAAACATTGTTATTTTCTCAAAGCCTCTTCCCCCGGCCGAAATTTTGTTTCCTTAACCTGTATGAAGTATCGTTACTTTCTCAAAAGATCCTTCTTTTACCCAAAAAAATCGAGTTCAAAATTTTGAGAATCTGATTTCAAATGCGAATTCATCGATTCCGATTTGCTTTCGTTAACCTTTATACAATATAGTTATTTTACCAAAAACCTCTTCCCCTGATGAATAGCCTAATTGGCTGAAATTGCAGCAAGATACTTTTTTGACAGTTTCTTTGACTCTCTCACATACAAGCATACAAACGCATTTTAGTTTTTTCCATATGATCCTCCCGACAGTCGAGGGAATAAAAAAGCTCGTTTTCAATTGGCCCATTTTCTGGCCAATGAAAGTACAAATCGAAAAATTGACTGCAGATTCGAATTTCTAGCCTTCGATCACCTATTGGAAATTTTAATCAACAGATCGAAAAGTCGTAAAATAAAAAATTTCGTTTTTTATTGGTCCACTATCTGACTAATGAAAGCTCAGATCGAAAAATCGATCTCAAATTCGGATTCGTCGACCTGGATTACCTTTGGTGAAACTTTACAAGTTAGGATTACGGCCATAAATGAGTACACGTGGCTTAACACGTGACTGCAAATAAACATACAAACATAGGAACGCATTTTATTTCATATGATCCTCCCTCTAGTCGAAGGAATAACCATTTTGTTTTATATTTTAGATTGGCTTCGACGGTACAAAATTAAACAATTCAATATCAAGCAACACAATAAATAAGAATGTAGGTATACATTTTATTTTTTTTAAAATCATATGCAGTGGTAAGTTCCCCACTGATCTATTTTATGTTTTTTTCTTATTTTAGCTACCGAATATTGCAAGTAAGTAAAAGATCTTCTTAAATATGGTTTTTTTTTCATTTTAGTTAATGTAAAGTCGACGAAAGAGATAACAGTGAGGTAAGTTACTCGTTTCTTTTGTTACACACATATGATTAAGTAAAATTTTTTCTTTTCCTCTTAGTCTATCATCGCATCGTCTTCATTATCAACATCACCAATACCACCCAACATCATACCACGTCAGTAATTGTTTCTTTCCTTTTTGAGATGAGAATAGATAGTAATAGTGAGACTGAGAGCGAGTTAGGGAGACACTCAGAAAAGTGAATGTTAATTGGGAATGAGTGAGTTATGCTCCATAATATTAGACCCTGTTATTTGCAGGCCTTGCAGACTTGGGCCTAAAACACCGACCACGAACTATCGTAGTGTCCGTGGCACACAACTGGACTTCTCCAGACTCATTGACATATCTCTTAAGTAGAAGGGATATGAATGGTTTGAGTCTGTCCCGTGCGTGCACGAGCGTTATGCTCGACACGGCTCCACCAGGATAGTTTCTGGTCGCATGCACAAATAGAATAGACATTTTTTTCATCAATTCAACGTGATTTATTTGAGAGAGAAAAAAAAAGAATCCATTTTAATGAGTCTATGCGATAGAAAATCGTTGAACACGATGATTCCTACAATCGACGACATAGAGATTACCATGTCGATCGAAAGATAAACCCCTGAGACCATTGAACTGATTTTCTCCTTTTCCTTCACCGTTTCCACCCACAACAACAGTGCCCTGTTTTGCTCCTTTCGACCAACGCATTACTCTATCGTTAATGCAATCTGCCACATAAATGGTACCCATTGTATCGACGAACAGTCCTTGAGGAGACGACAATTGTGTCAAAGCATTTCCTTTTCCTTGACCTCCAGCGACAATAATTCCTTCTTTTGCATCTTTTCCCCATTTCATCACACGATGATTTGCGTTGTCTGACACGTAGACGTTCTGTTGTTGATCGACAAAGACGTAGGTCGGAAAGTTGAGTTGATTAAGACGAGTACCTTCGCCATTGCCACCAGCCACGATGATTCCATTCTCGTTCCCTATTTGATATCGTCTTACTTCATGATTGTCGGTGTCAGAGATGTAGATATATCTCTGACTATCCATGGCCAATCCCCAACATCGAATGTTGTCGATGAGGATTTCTCCTTCGGTTGTATCACTCTCACAAGACCATCGTACCACTCGTCGATTTCCTGCTTCACAAATGATGAGACTATCCGTCTCTTTGTCGATCAACACGTCGATTGGTCGATCCAATTGGTCCAATCGATTGCCTTGGTCATTGCCACCAGCTACTACTTGTCCATCCGTATCACCCATCTTCCACTGGATGATACGATGGTTCCAGCTGTCAGCGATGACCATTGTTTGAGTATCACCAACGAAAAGGCCATAAGGACTCGAGAGTTGATCGGTAGCATCGCCGTGTCCATGACCTCCAGCAACAGTCATCCCATTCTGTGCCCATCGAGAATTGACTGAAATATTGGGAATTACTATAATGAACAAAAAATAAAAGGAATCGCCATCGTTGTGATCGAAGAGATTTCCCTCTCTCGTGGGGAAAGAACTATGAAAGAGATATTCGTCTTCCTAAGTATATACGGTTCGTCTGATTTCACTAATTTTAATGATCTTCGTTTGATATTTGTTGAATCGATATAGTTCCTATCAAGTGATTTCTTTTCTCGTTAATTTAAGCTATCAAATAGATTAAATTTCAAGAATAGAATTAAACGATTGTAACTCATATTGGAGTTTTTTCAACGATCAGCTATCAACCTATCACTTTATATTATGCTAATGTAATTTATCGTGATGCAACAAAATAAAATTTGAGTTTTCTTCTACTTTATAATTAAGTATAGTACATTATTTTCAATGGGTAAAATAAAAAAAGCGATCGATGATTTAATTAGAAACATCTTTAGGTAAAGTTTGAACATTTAAAAATAGAATGAAATACTTCTTATTTCTAGTTGATCAAGTTAAACCATCTTTCATTGACGAGCATCAGATATCTGCCATCGTTCTAGAGTAATTACTGAAATGTAAACATCTCAAGTCAAAATCCAAATCGAGCAGACATGAAATATGAATTCCACTTAATATATAATATTACTTTTGGTACCTGAAATAATTTAACTCTCTTCCTAGGTACTATAAATTTTTGCATAATTACAGATAGCATAGTGAAATCTACTAATTTAATATATTTCTGATTATTTTTGAAGCAGTCTAATCGGTTTTATTCTGAACTTAATTTAGTCACTTGTGTATAATCGGCAAAAAAAGCATTTTCGTACACTGCATTGAATTCTAATGAATCTACAAAATATTCTGATTGTTTCGTGACGTATAATCCTGAACCCAGAAAGAAAAAAATGTTTAGGTGAAGAAAGGATTAAAAATAAAAACTCAGGCTGCTACCTTCTTAATCAGTATAGAACAGTAGTTGCTCTCACAAAAGAATAAGAATAATAAGTAAACGTTACAGAATGTCTATAGCAATGTGTGAGCATGTTGAGAAAAAATATAAGAAAAATGGCAGCAATGTAAGAGGCTAAATGAATTCTGGGAGTTGAGTGAATTTAAACTATGCATGATATTCAAATAATCAGAGACACGCATAGATTTAAAAGAACCCGAGGAAGTCTAATATCAGAGAGATTTTAGGATTCGGAAGGTTCCACGCAATTCAAATCAACCTAGAAACACATATATTTCGAGGAATGCAAGGTAGCCTGAAAATCCTCCGGAATTTAAAGGTTACCAGCAACCTGATGAATCAAAAGAATCTGTGAAATATGAAAAATTTGAGAAACCCATGGAATTGCTGAAATATTAGGAATCAATAGAATTGTAGGAATCCAAGATATACATTGGATGCAGAGAACTTTGAGGATGTATGTGAAACTCGAGAGAAGTATCTCATGCATTCCTCAAGGATAAAGCAGAAAAAAGAAGAAAGATCGATGAAGAAAACATCTCATGATGAAGAATGTAAGAACAAATTTAAAAAAATGTCCTTTATCAACAAATGGTCGAGAGAACAAAAAAAAGGGGACGCTATATGTTTTTTCTTGTCGAGCTTCATCACTTATCGACCTGTTTCGATACTAAATTTCGTCATGTCCAAGACAAGATAGAAGGCCTATCGACCAAAACACATCTATTGAATTGCATCAATTTATAAAATGTAAAATCTTCGTTTGATAAGAGTAGTTTTCATACAACATCCGGCGTTTTCACCACCACTTCGTTCCACGAGTGGATGCAGCTGAGGAAAGCTTAACATGCAATACAAGAGCGAAGTATTAAATTTCAAGCCTCTGTGGATCTCCTGAAATCCCATCTTATCATGTTTAATATCGAAAACTAATATGCCACGAATATACCAGATTTACTTTTTGACAGGAGTCAGAGAATCAAGAGATTCTAGGAACTCTAGGAACTGACGAAAGAGGTTTAATGAGAAGAATTTTCGAAACTCTACAAACTGCACGAACCATCGAAAATTCCATTAAATGAAGAAACTTAGAGGTTCCAAGCATATCAACGAAGTCTAGGAACTTATTGAGACAAGGGAAACCACGAAACTCAACAACACGTTAGTAGGCAAAAATCTGTATGAATTCAGAGAAATAAAAAAAGTTATGGAACTCTACAAACTATGCCAGTAACATGATCTTTAGGGACTTAAATGTCTTCGAGCAATCAAAGGACCTATGAAACTGAAACTAGCATGATTGCGAAAGAAACTTTTAAAAGTGAAGGATTCAGAAGAATCTTTGTGTCAGTATTGATAAACAATATTGAAAAAAAATGAATCAAATGCTTTTGCAACGAGTTCTGTTCATTTTCTTATTTTAAATTTATGAAAATTTGAACTGCCCATCACACAAATGTTGACTTTGACACTAAAATCTTTGTGAAAAAAGATTAAATACGAAACAAAATCTGATTGATTCTAAACAACAAGAAAAAACTATGTACACTTATATATAACATATGGATGTAGCTTCGCCTGATCGAGACGCTCAAGAGTTAAAGTAATCTACTAGATTTAGGTATGTTAGGTTCTGATTCTAGATTCGACTGTTCTAGTCTCTTCTAATAAACAATCCAAAACATTTGTATAAGCAACAGCACATGTCCTGTTTATGTCTTTAAGAAAAGTTGATCATAATGTAATTTTGGAGATAACGCATCGCCAATTTTTGAGAGAAAGATACTTGTTTTCGACAAAAAGTCAAAAATACATTTCTAAATAAAGTAAGGATTAAGGGCATTCTGTTAGCCGTCCTCTTCGAACAACTCTTATATGTACAGTCGATGTTGAAGATAAAACGATCATACCTACGTTAGTGTCCTTCAGCGAGTGAATGATAATAAAAATCTTATTCATTACTGAATGACGATAGAATGATCACAAAACCATATTTTGTTTCTCATTGCTACTTGTTGTTCAATCAGATTATGATCTTCTAATAGTTCTAGTTACTTTACAAAACATTTTCAAGAATCCTTAGGCAAAAGGTGCAAAAATTCAATAAGTCGAGCTGAACCATTAATTCGAGATAATGTGAGAGTACAAAATTTCTGTAAAGAACAAAATTCTTGCATTTTTTTTATTTAAAAAAATGTCCAGATGCTTTTGCTTAGATTTTCTGATAGCAATACAAAGAGAATGAAAATCTTATTCTGATAAGGGATATGTGCTTTCTGCCAATCAATAAATTATGAAATTTATTCTGAAAAAAATCGATTAATTAGATACGTGAGGACTATGAACAAGCGAGAAAATCTGAGGGATAACTGTGATATTGTTCACATAATTTTTATCATCACTAATCATGCTCACTTTCAAGGCAATAAACAATATGATGTCCTACCTTTTTTTACTGGGACATTGGTTTCATTGTCGGATGTCTAAAAGTATGAGCTATTTGATGAATATTCATTTCCCATAATGATAATCGCCTGACCTTTTTGACAGTGGAGCTGATTTCAATATTTACGATATTGGTGAAGGTTGGTGTAGCTGTTTTTTTCTATGAACAAAAGGAGATAAGTACGAACAAAAAACAAGGCATTAAGAAATTCTTTGAATTACTTGAGCTTTGCTCGAGTGTGTCTCTTTTTTTGCTTCGATTTTACCAATAGCACTTTTTGTCAGAGTACCTGTAATATAAAGCAATTATTCGTATTTTAATAGCTTTTTCCGAGCCATTATCTATAAAACTTAATATATTTTTACAGTTTCGCGGTTTAGTCGAAGCAGAGATGTGTGTCACGGATGCAACATAAGAAATTGAGACTTTTCTCATGGCAAGAGTGTGAGTATGAGAGAAAAGCATAAGAATGCATGGAATCGAAGGTGTGAAGGTTTGATATGAAGGTGTCAGATTTTCTCTTCACCGTCATTTTCACCAATTTTCGTACCGACACTCGCATCCTCCATAAAGGACAAACACTTCGTGTCGATAAATAAATTTTGAATTACCTCTCAAATATGGAGTAACTTTATACGAGTCAACTTTGAAGAAGCCGCAGGACCTGCGGATTCATGTATGCTTTGTGTGTCTGAGGAGTGACAGTGGTTTCGAATACATAACTCTCACCATCACCAATCATTCTCACTCTCAAGGTGATAATCAACGGTATTCTACCTTTATTTGATAGAGCACTGGTGTTCATGCTGAAAAACTAAAAAGCATGAGATATTTAATGAATATCAGTTTCCTAGAGCGATTATCATCTGACCTTCTTTAAGCTTGAGACAATTCCAGTGTTTGCAGTACTGGTGGGAGCTGCTGTAGTTGTATTGTTCTATGAACAAAAGGAGATAGGTATGAACAAAAAAGGGCATTAAGAGATTGTTTGAATTACTTCAACCTTGCTGGATTGTTCTTCTTGTTGTGCTTCGGCTATGTCATCAGGAGTCGTTGTTGAATCGTCTGCAATTCAAAACAATCATTTATTTCTTAATAGATTTTTTGTGCCATTTTCTACACCGGATTTATCATGTTTCACATTTTTATTTCACAGAGAATACCCTCAATGGTTTTTATTTTAACTTCGTTGAAAAACCTGCCTCACATACATCCAAGTGATACTTATTAAAAGTACATAAATAGTCACTAGAAATACTATCTGGTTCCTATTAGCTAAGTCTTAGCGCTGTCAAATGTATTATGTCGAAGAAATGAGGGATTGCGCTCTGTCTCTGAAGAAAAATCGCTTTGGAGAAAATCTGAAACCAGCGTGGAATGTGATTTTTTTATGTATAGCAAGACTTTTATTTTTTTCAAAAATACGATCAAATGTTGACCACACGGAGCGCTTTGAGAAGCGTATCTTTGAACTTAAAAGCGTAAGTAGGTATGTGAATACCAGTGCGTGTGTAAGTAACGGCGACGTAAAGACTCTCTCTCATTTAGCCACCAACCAATATCCACATTCCCAAAAAAGTTACCAATACCTCTCTGAAAATACGGATGTTGGTGAGTGAACATAAAACTGTCACCCTCGCATTTCTTCATCCCTATCACACGAGATACAGCTTCTATTGCTGCACCACACTAAAGTACGCTGCAAAAAGAAACCATAGAAAAATAAGCCTAGAAAAGGATTTATTAGTCTCATGAGCTCTATACCCAATTCCCATAAACTCTTTATAGGATACATGTCATTTTTATCAATATCTTTAAGGCTTATGTCAGTTTTATAGATCCTTCTAGGGTTTATCAAAATAACGAACCCTTGTGTAACGTCTATCATTCTACGTTTTTTATAGTGTAGTTTTAATATGAAAGTAGATTATTGTTTCCCTTTCTATCGTACTAAAAACATACTATTTGAACTATTGAACACGTACTAATTCATTGGAACTACTGCGAAATGAAAAGCTTAGTACCTAGGACGTGAACGAGGCGTACTAGCTGAAAATTATAGTGAATATTCAGGATTGTCAGAGCTAAACTCGATAAAAATGCTAAATAAAGTGCAGTTTGTCTCATTGAATAGTGCTATTTCAGATGCATCAGATTTCCTACTTGTTGTTGAAAATTGAATATCTTTGCAAGTCAATTAACGTTAAAGCTTACACTTTAGTTATAGTTGGGATCTAATATGTCGCTATCTGATAAAAATTTCAGCTCAAACAAATGTGAGATAACTAAGATACAAGACATTTACTGCAAACAGTGGCATCTTGGGGTGTGATTTAAAAATGCGATATGTCTCGCCTAGACAACTATGTATACAAATCTTTTTAGAGCTAAACTATTCTAGTAGTCCTCTATAAATGTCGCAAATATGAGCTTCAAGGTGACGAAATGCCTAGAGAAGTTTTTCTTCTAACTAAGAAATAGCCAGATTGGGCTAAAAAAAATCGTAAGCATTATAAAGACTGAGACTAGGATGGACTTGCTTTCTCTGTTTATTTCGATGGGGTTATTAATTACATTTTACTCAATTTCGACCGTGAGACAATTTAAATTCTAATAATTTCATATTTTTCATCTTCTCAATGTTGAGAAACAAGATAGCTCACGCACAAAATTACTATGGCGCTATTTGAATTCATCGTAAAGAAGAGCAGTAGAATGTACTAGTATGTATACCTGGTTTATGTGATTGATTTCGCTGCTGGCTGCATAAATATATATCCTTCTTTGATAATGAAGCACTCACAAATGGAATTTGACTTGACTTCGACTCTTTTATTACACCATCGGCAACATCACGTAATATCATTTGGATGTCTTCATTGGCAGTTGTAATATGTTGTAAAAGATGTTTTGTGAACAAACCGTTTCTCTGTCCTCTTCCTTCAATCGCAATAGTTCCCGGTTCACAAGCAAATGCAACTAATGAACCAGCCTTGTGCATGGGTTTAAGACCTACTGATTTTGAAACACTTGCATTCGGATTACGTGCATCTACCTCAGGATTATGTAAGTGATAGCTTGTACAACAATCCAATAGGAATATGGTTACATATGGATTGCGATCACTTAAAGTATTGAGAATAGCTTGTGCCTTGATCGCACTGTTGTTTAAATTTGTATCATTCAAAGTTGGACTATCTTTTGGTATCAAATAATTCTGATCCTGAATGTACCGTAAATAAAATTCTCATAGAAAATTGGAATAACTTTTAATGGTAAAATCTGAATACATACTTCCCATTGTATTCCATGTCCAGCAAAATAAAATAGGACCATATCGTCGGGCTCTATCGATTCTTCGAAATCAATAATAGCATGTTTCATTTCAGCACGTTTTAAATGTAGTTTCTTTGTAACAATAAAATCAATACTTTCCAGAGCAGATGACATATCATTCGCATCATTTTCTGGATTTTCTAATTCTTGACAATGTTCATATTTACCAATACCAATTACAAGTGCCAACTTACGTCGTGGTTGAAATGCAGTGCTATCGATCTTTTGAGTCGCCATTAATAAAAAAGTAAGCTTAATCTGAAAAGAATGGCTCTGATATCATGTAATACATCAAAATATGAAACCAGACACAGACAGAGCGACATACACTTCAACTGGTTCTTCAGACAAGCGTTCTATAGATGGCACGGTAGGCTTCCGCATCAGTCATGATTGATATCGAGATAAGGTTCAACTATGAGGCAATTTATCTATATACTCTATCAAGTGTTTCACGCTGAACTTGCGAGAAAACATCCTCAGCTGTCACATCGCTTTTGAGTCGAGCGTATGCGTATCATGTATACCCTAATGATCTATGAATACTCTAAAACAAGTTCGTGCCACTTGCTTATTACTGTCGGGATATTGCATTTTTACTGTATGTTTAAGAAAAAAAGCTGTGGTCCCCTCAGGAACACTAGAAAAAATAAGTTTCGAATTTCGACTTGAAAATTTGCATAAAGATAGGCCTCAAGGAGAATAGTTTATTTTGAAAGTTTCAGATCTTTTCATTGTTCCTATCCTAAGATACAGCTGCGGTAAAATAGCTTATATATACCAGCAGACTCCGATCTTCTTATTTCAAACTAGGAGCAATCAAAAGATCTGAAACTTTCACAATGAACTATTCTCATTGAGACTTGTCCTTGTAGAAAGTTTCAAGTTGCAATTCGAAACTCAGTTTTCCTAGTGTTTCTGAGGGGAACCACGACTTTTTGCTGATGCATACAGTAAAAATGCAATATCTCGGCAGTAATAAGCTAGCGGCACGAAGTTTTTTCAGAGTATTCATAGATTGTCAGGGCTTACATGATGCCCATACGCTCGACTCAAAAACGATGTGACAGCTGAGAATATTCCCTCATTAGTTAAGTGCAACCAGTTTTGCTACATTTCAACTTCTAGAGTAATATGAAGCTAAAAGAGGCCTTTTTGCTCCAATGGTTATAGGTTCTATGAATACCAACAAGGGAAAATAGAAATATATTCTCGAGAGGTCATGTAATCAGTGTGAAAATTTCATCATCGAGGTATTTTTAGAAAGACTAAAGAATATCTGGCTTTGCAGCTATCCAGCGGTACAGGATACTGCTTAAAGACAGTTTTATTGGTCTGATATAACGACGACAACTAGCACTAGCTGTAGCTTAGGACAGGAAGCCTGTGTGTCTCAGAGTTCTTTCGTTCAATCATCTGAGGTTTTCCATACACACTGACGAACAATATATTAGCTTCGAGGGTTGGCATATGTCAAATCGTAGCCAACACATTATTGGGAGTGTGATCCGAGGTTAACAACTGTTATTATCTTTGAGCAACTTATTAACGGTTGGTAACGACGAAATCTGAACACACTACTTTCCGGTATGTGCTGGGCAGCTTGATGGTTCAGCTATTTTACAAAGACAGTGTTTTGCACTTTAGACTGTCACAAGTGGTAAACAAGATGATAGGGAATTTATAAGACAAGTTTCAGCTTCCAATAATAGTTGAGGAGTAGCAGAATCAATACTGGACCACGAGGCAGAGCAGCATAGTCAGTCGCAATTGTAAGACCTATAATTGAACCAACGTACAATTCTTGTCTAATGAGCTTTTCTTTTAGGTTACTCATATCGTAGAATTGAGAATATTTCCATTTTCTCCAAACTTCCATCTTCTTCCTTTGAAGGTAAGATAGAACTCTGCGGGATCGAAGAATCAAGAAATCGATTGGCCGTTCACTCACGGTCACAGTTCATTCATGCACTTGGACGAAAGACTCAACTATCCTGAAAAATTTCTTTTCACTAGCAAGGCATCTGCATTGAACTTCATGTGTAATGTTAAGAACTCGTGTTCATCTTTCGATGTTCTGTTCGGTTCCAGTTGTCGCATCAATACTTCGAGAGAGTTGGAACTAGAGCTTCGCCGGACATGTGCTGCACTATTTCACACTATAGCACATAGCACATTCCTATGCGACATCGCCTAAACTTGCACGCACTACATGCTATTTCATCTCATTGTTTAATGCGTCTTGGAAGAACACTAAGGAAATGAGTTAATGCTTACAAAACGTTTCCACTTAGCGAAAATGGAAAGAGGCGCACATTGCGCTTAAGTATGAGTATTAAGACAATACTGTCCTGCGAAGGTGTGACTGGAGCTGATGATCAGCTCCTTACTACAGTTCTTAATAGTTCATAACTCTAAATTCTTTTATTCGAAACTTTGTTGTTCTAATGGTGTGGATGAACATAGGTGTGGATGAAGAAAAGACCCCCACATTCACTGCATCTATATCCACTCCCTAATATTAATTGTTTTCCAATCGCAACATTTGTGCAGAACTCAGACGCTTGGCATGAAAGTCTCTTCCAAGAATTCAGTGACAAAAAACTATCTCGCTTACTCTTACTAACCTTCGGGTTGTTTCACAGGTTTTACGATCACATCCAGACGCTGGGCAATTCTGAGAAGCTTTTCGCTTCGTCTTTGTGATGTATTATTTTGGATAACACATCTGTCGTAAGTCTAAATAATCGCCATCTGTAGTTGTACTTTTCATCATGGTTGATACACATCGCCGAATAAACCGCAGTTTTCTCAATAGTGCAATGTGAAATATTCGGTGATTAGATTTTTTGTCTAAGGTATTCTCATGTGACTTGATATTTTTTCTCATGTTGTCGGATACTCGTAAGTGCTCCGAAGGTTTTCTAATTAGCTATTGCGAAAATCAAATGGTAAGGCTTTTGGCGCTTACGCTGAGGGATAGTTCTGCTGTCTGACTATTGTTCTTATCAGTTACTAGCTTTGTGAGATTGTCTGTAACACTTCCTGATGGCTGTTGTCATTTGAGCAGCGATTAGCGACTTGATGCTTATCGTCCATAGTTTTAGAAGTTTCTGTGTTGCCTAATGGCTTTTGCTTTCATTTTCACCAATCGGTACTCTAGCGAAACTTTTTCCTGTTGGTCTATTGGATTGCTTTGCAATATGAAAGCTCTTAACAATCTTATCTGAAGCTCTGAAGTTCTACCGCAGAGTTGATCATCACTCTAGCATATCTTCTGTGATCTCAAGGGTTTTGCCTTCACTCTCACACATTTAAGTGTGTGCAAACGATCTTTGCTCCTTCGTTCGTCCCAGAAGGTATAGGATGAGATGAGCTCTTTTTTTTTCGTTTCTCTCACAGATTTCTTTGTGATCTAAAGAATTTCCATCCTCATTCTTTTGCATAAGTTAATAAGCCAAATCATTGCACATCCACTTTGACGCTTTTATTATGGGTCAGACTTCTCATATTCTAATTATGAGGTGTTCACATCTGGCAGGAAACTATAATCGTCTTTTTGACCCGTCCATGTACGCTTCGACACTTCCGTCTTTCATTTAACCATTATTTTGCAGTAGAAATCTGTCTCAGCTGATGCTGAGGCATTGCTGTCAGATTCAGATATTTTTACTCTCTACCTGTCATCATGATATGTTACCTAAAAGCATTTGCTCAGTCTATTATGCATAGCTTTATAACTCATCCTGTTATCTTTCGTCTTGACACTTTGGTGTGAAGTTCGAAGCTCTCCACTCTTACTCTTGTACATTGTAATATGGTCAGGAGCTTTCCACCCTCACTCTGGCGCAATGAATTTTCGTAGAAAGTTATCTGTCATCGCTTTTACTTATGAATGTTTCATTCGAAAGTTATCCTCCTAGTTTTTTCTTTATGATCTATGGCCAGAAACCTTGTTTGGTTATGGTGAGGCATAGTTCTGTGGCTCGCCGATTTTTCTCCATCTTCATGTAATTATATGTGGAAAGAAGGTATTCGTCTATAGTTGGGTAATTCTGTGGGAATCCTCCCACGAAATACACGAGTATCTCCGGTTAGTCTTCAAATAGCACCATCCGATAGAACTTTTTATGTTGATCAA